CACACACACACACACACACACACACACACACACACACACACACACACACATACACACACACGTGCTTCTTTCAATTCAACCAATAGCCCGAGCACCAAATTGAGTACCGAGCTGACCGCGTGAGAATCAAGTAAACTCGGTTCCAAGCAATTTATACAAAAATTACACAATTTCAACAATAATTCGCCACATTCTAAAAAAATACTTTATCAAATAACACTCACACACACACACACACACACACACACACACACATACACACAAATACACACACACAGATTCACTAGTTGATATCACAATTCTAGGGGCGTGATCCCTGCATGATCGTACAATATCTGGGAGGGCAAAAAGCATCGATAGTTTCGTGGAATTGGTAATTCCACGATACTTGAACTTCTGTAGTTCTGTTTGGGATGCCAGAAGCGGTTGTTGATTCATGATTCGGGTCTTAGTCTTTAGGCAGTTTTATTAGTTGTTTTTTTAGTACCGTATGATCAAAACCAGCGGCGAATTCAACCCATCTGACAAATTTACTAGTGGTTCTAAGCAGTGTTTCATAACCTGAATAGCAAGTTTAACCCTTCGCAACTTATTAAAAGCTTTCAGATTGAGCCATTTTTTGTTCGCATGTTTCTGTATGATTCACGTGCCGGACGTCGACTCTCCGAGGAATTCGCAGTCGATCCGAATGGCAACGAATTTGATGCAGTGCTAAAAGCAGCTAATGGTTTTGCTAGTGGAAATAGAAGTGCTAGTGAAAAAAGTACTTTAGAAGATGGAATAAATACATTGCCGCAGCGAGTGCTGGCCGATAAGAATGCTCGTAAAGTTGGTCATTTTTAGAAATTTTGAAATTATGAGAAATTAATGAGAAATTTAATAATTAGGAGAAATTTCCCATAATTAGAAATTAGGAGAAATTAATTTCGTTATGCATTTCGCTTTCTGTCACTTAAATAGCATTTCGGCTTTTTTTTTTAATTCAAATTTACCACATTCACGTTTGTGGCTTCTTTTGAATATCACACTATTATCACTGAGCATTCCGTCTTATGCATTTCTTGCTGCTTTTTTAGTAGCGGATTGTTTTTAGCATAAATTGTCCTAGTATGTAGTAATTATTATTATGCGTTTTTTGCAGTTATGCAGTGCAAAAACGCATATTGACGAGGGGTTGTCTGTGTGTCTGTTTGTCTGTGTGTGTGCCTCTGTCACGCACTTTCATCTCAAGACCTATAAAAGCTGCGGGGCTGAAATTTCGGGAACTTTATCTACATGCACGTACGGGCCCTAGTCCCAAAATGTGCGTCATTTCCTGCGTGTACCCACGCACGGGCCCGCCAAAATTTTTTCCGGGTAAGTTCATAACTCGGGGATCTGAGAAGCTAGAACGCTGAAATCTTAGGGGGATGTTCCCCGTTCAAGTATGTGTTAATGCGCTCAAACCCATCGCCGGGTGGATGTGGTACCCACGGACGGGCCCGTGAAATTTTTTTCAGTAAGTTGCTAACTCAGGAGCCAGGAAAGCTAGAAGGGTGAAATTTTAAGGGGGTGTTTCCTGACAGTTCTGGAGGTCAGTCTTAATTTGTTTAGCTAGAAGCATTTGCCGAAAAAACCAATGCCGGTAGCGACAAAAACTGTGGGGAACTATGCAAAAAACGCATCTTCGCACGGGCAGGCCGTGCGTTGGCCAATTATTTTTGATTGTAGGTAAGAATTTTTTTTTTTGCATATTATCAGATGTTTGGTGAAGGGGGAAATTCAGCGGTGAACAAGCGAGATTTGAGAGGACAGTTTTTTCTAAGCGTCAGCAAGTTGCAACACTTTTCCAGTGAAGTATTGCGGTTTTTGGCCTGGAGTAAACGAAAAAGAATTAAGTTCGTAATATAGCAAGAATGAAAAATAATAAATTTTTAAAGCGAATTGTTTGTTAGCCAAGCAATGAAGGGTGCCAGTGCTGGGGAAGGATCTGCTTGAGTAACAGTGTGAAATTATTTGAATGAGATAAGCTCAAAATGACGAGGGATGAGGAAGTTTCCAGCTACAGGGAAAATAAATGGCAACGCGCACCAGGCTAGCCGGTGCGATCATGCGTTTTGTGCAATTCAG